GTGTTGCCCTGGTGGGCATGGACATTGACTCACGATTCTTCTGTATCATTCTCAATGGGATGGTTACTCGGTTCCATGTGCTATCTGCTTTGGCTTTGAATACTTGGACTTCAGTGTGATTTTGCATTCTGGATTTCTGTGCTTCGTCCATAATCATGTTCCTTGCAATTAGCCAATTCATTGAGAAATGATCGTGGATGATATCTATGAATTGCTCTCTTCTACTGGGCCTCATAAAGCATTGCGCAAAGTACGAAAATTGGAAAAACACAAAATGGTTAGTGAAGGGCGAAGCTCAGTGTATAAGCGGCGGAAGCCAAAATGGTAACTACGAATTCAAGAACAAAAGTTTTTGGACTTGATAGCATTTATGATTTTTCATCAAACAAGATGCCAAAATGTTCAGTCAAATTATTCTGGCTGAATTAGACATTTTAATTGAATGAAGTAGATTGTTCTCTGCAAATCGAGAACATGAAGTCGGAATCGCTAGTAATCACGGATCCGCATGCCACGGTGGATATGTACTCAGGCTTTGTACACACCGCCCGTCACACCATAGAAATTTCTTTTGCCCAAAATTGTCTCTATGATAAACCAATTCTGCAATTATTCAGTAATAAGCATACACATACTGTGCAATGTGCATACAGCCAAAAAAAAAAAAAAAAAAAAAAAAAAACTGCATACAGCTATACAGATGAGGTTGCAATGTGTTGCGAACTTGTCACTTTTTTTTTTTTTTCAAGCTATATTCTTCTCTCAATTTCACCTCACACTACCTACCTACCACTACTCCTAATTGTTAACTGATATTTCAGTAGGGGCAGCCAGAACCGTGTTCACGAGAGAACATGCGGGGGCTGCTCCCGACCTGCAGGTGGGCAATACCGGCTAGGGGACAGCCGGTAGCATCCGGGACCATGCCAACATGACCAATCCCTGTGCCTCCCTTCAGGTGGTGGTCCCCTCCCCTACGAACATCAGCAGACTCTGCTCAATGCCGATCGGGAGATCCAGTGGTCTATCTCTAGGTGGCGGGCGCCAAGCATGCCCAGGAAGGTACATGAGGCCAATGGGGATTGAACCCATGACCTCCTGAATGCCACTTGCGAGGCTTACCCACTGAGTTAGGCCGCTGGATCGAACTTGTCACTTGATTACATAGGACTTCTTTTTCTCTCTTTTTTTTTTTTTTTTGTGTGTGTGTGTGTGTGGTATTGATGGACCACGGATCAGATATCGAACGGATCCAAACAGATACTGCATTTGATCTTACTTAGCCAAAAGGCCGAGAAACTGATCAGATCAGACACTACACTTTATCATTACTTGATCACATAGGACACTTTCTTATCAGGACATTTTCTTAACAAGACTTAATTACAGAGGACATTTTTTTTACCATTCACCCACATAGTTCAAAGCACGCTCAAAGCCTGCGATAATTTTAATTTCAGCCAAGAACATGGATTTTGCATTCTTAATTTCTTAGCAAGAAAGAAGACCACCACAGGTAAAAGGAGGTTGGACAGATTGAGAACTATTCTCATTTGGAAAACCAGGGAACTAAAAACAAAGTTATCAGAATGATGTGGAAATCTGAGAAGTTGGATTGAGATTCAAGAACAATAAGTTTACCATGCTTCCCTTCGCTCCAGTGGTGGTCATAAGTGCCAAGCAATTAGCAGGGAAAGCCTTCCACAGCCCAGCCGGCAGACTTTCCTTGATCGTCGATGATGTGATGGGATGGAGTGCACCTGTCATTCTTCTATCAAATGCAGCTGCAGCTCCAACTGTGCTCTTAATCCGCCTTTGCAGCTCTGACTTCAGTCCAGCAAGATCAATGTCTGAAAAACAGCACATACAAAGTACCGGGTTAAATTCACTGAAACATTCAGAAAAAGGCACAAGATAGAGAGAGAACGAGAGAGAGAGAGGGAGAGAGAGAGAGAGAGAGAGAGAGAGAGAGAGAGAGAGAGAGAGAGAGAGAGAGAGAGAGAGAGAGAGAGAGAGAGAG